TTGATCACAGGAAAATTCAAAACTTTCTAAGTTCGTGTTTTTCCTATGATTAATTACATACAGTATTGTTTGCTTTAGAATGTTGGGCACATCACAGCATTTACATGTTTTCACCTCAGAGAGTAAACCAAAAATATTGCGTATTGCAAACCGTTAGAGTAATAAATTACGTTTTTTGGACTTTTTCCTTCCTGTTAACACTAAGAGTGCCTTTTATCAGACGTACACTGCTGGACATTGAAATTGCTACACCAAAAAAGCGGCATACAACAAACGCGAAATTTGCAAGCGAGGTACAGTACAATACGCCATTCTGGGATATTCAAATGATTCGCATTTCAACGCATGCTCGCAAAGCAGGTAGGAGTAAGACCAACTACATATATATTAATATTATAAAGAGGTAATGTTTGTATGTATGTAAGTTTATTTGCAGCAGGTAATCTCCGAAACTACTCATCCGATTTCAAAAATTCTTTCACCAATATTTAGAATGGAACTTCAGGGTGGACATAGGCTGTATATTATTCCGTTAAATATTCATATAAATTAAATTAAAAGATATAATCTAGGTTAAGGCTTTTATGTCCAACAGATGGCGGTACGAGTACAACGCCCTAAGTTTGCTTTTCTGTGAGGCATTATGCTTTTCTGTGAAAATGAACTAAAGTAGATCATCTTCTATCTATCCATATAAATAAAAATGTAATGTTCGTTTGTTCCTACCGATTCCTTTGAAATTTTGACACAACGCTGCATTCGAATACGCACGTGTTTTTATATAATATACGTGTCGAAATTCAACCCCACTGAAGGGAGATGGTTAGGATTAAGGCTTACGGTAAAGAACTCTGCTTCTATTTATACTATTTTAGATGCGGGTTTTTACGTTTTTGATTGCGTTTTAATAGGGTACGTCAAGAGAATTTACACTAAGAAGAAATTTTTCGAAAATTCTCACCCCCCCACGTGGGGAAGTGTTATAAATTTATAATAGATACATTTGGAGCCACAACAACGCCTGGTGGGGTCTGCTAGTTCTATATAAAAGGGAAGATTGTAAAGCTGATTTCTCATACAGAAATCAAATTCGCAAGTCGGTTGCTTATGTAGAGGTTTTGTTATGCCTCGTGTAAAAAGGAGGAATGCCTACCAGTGCATGTCAGAGTTTGATCGTGATAGAAGCGTAGCGTACTGGGACTGCGGTTTATCGTTCCACGGTTTGCTGCTGGCATTATCGTGATCCCATGACTGTCACGAGAATATGAAATTGATGAGTCCAGGAGGGCCATACAGAACGCCGTGCAGAATCTCAGCAGAGGCCCCTGATCAGTAACGCCCGCGAGGACAGACATTTTTACCATATGGTCTTGCAGGATCGTACTGCCACGTTACGTACCCTGGATCAGGAACTTGGGTCATTTTCAGACCAACATGTGTCTGCACAGACAGTGCGACGACGTCTGCAGCACCATGGATTATCAGCATGGCGACCTTTGCTGCAGCTTTCCTTGACGCTGCAGCAGAGACAGACGCGCTTACAATGGCGCGTTCAACGACGAATATGGACGCAGGAGTGGCGTTACGTCGTCTTTTCGGACAAAGCCCGGTTCTGCATAAAGCATTATGATGACCATATCTGTTTGTGGAGGCATCAAGGGAACAATCATTGCAAGCTTGCATTCATCATTGTCTTACGGGTCCAGCACCGGGAGTGATAATATGGGGTACCATTGGGTACACATCTCCGTCACCTCTTGTTCGCATAGCCAGTAATTTGGACAGCCGCCGTTAAATTTCTGATGTGTTAAGGCCCATCGCTGTGCGCTATCTTCGAGGTCTCCGTCACGCTACCTTTCAATAGGACAATGCACGACCGTATTCAGTAAGGTGGGGAAAGTATGGGAAACATTGCTTTCCCATGCTTTCCTCACCTTACTGAATACAGAGGGTGTTTGACTGTTGTCCTGGTCAGCACGTTCTCCAGTTCTAACACCAATTGAGAACGTCTGGTCAGTGGCTGCCGAGAAACTGGCTCACCACCACTCTCCAGCCAGTACGATAGATGAACTCTGGCATAGAGATGTAACTGCATGGACTGTTGTACCCGTATCCGCCATCCAAACTCTATTCGACTTGTTGCCCGGTCGGATTACAGCTGTTATTGCTACCAGAGGCGGCTTCTCTAAGTACTGATTTCAGCATGCTCTATACCTCAAAATTACTCGTCAATGTAATCATGTCTTTCTCCCATTATACTGTATGTGTACAACAAATATGATTCTGTTATTTGCTTTCCTTCCTGTGCAGCATTTTTATTGGGAAGCAGTGTATCGAATTGTCTAGGCGCAAATAAAGCCATCGAGTGGTAAGGAACAGGATCTAATAAACCCGGAAAGAACCATCCCGAAAAATTTTATGGAATTTTTGACTTTTCAGAGTGGTAGCCAGAGGCTATCCAGCCAGTTAAATTAGCCATTTTTCAATATACGGTACATATATGTACATTTTTCAATATACGGTACATATACTGTATGTCCAGTACTGTAGAGACTTAGTATAGCAGGACAAAGTGAAACACTGTATAAATTTATAAATTATATATCAATACAGATTAATTTCAACGTGTCATTGTTTAAATTTCTGGTGATTTTTCATAAAGCTTATGTTTTAGATATAACATGCTTCAGGCAATTTCAGATAGTTCATGCTAGTAATTTTAACTTATATTATTATGTAAGTCTAAATAATACAGTATATTGAATTCTTAATTAAATGAAAGAAAAGTAATTAAAAACGTTGTAAAATATGAAAAATTAATTATCTTTGTTTTACTATTCGAGAATATTAATTTGTAAATGTAATTTTGACCTATGTATTGCAAGATTATCTTTTAAAATATACACAAAATATTTTTAATACAGTATTTTACATATTATTTGTAGATAATGGTATTGAATGTATTAATTAAGATTCATAGTTCAACTAGAAATATATCGTGGATGTAAAATCATACACGACTAACTACGAAGCCGTGATTTTTAGAAAACAGGGGTTGAAAATCGGAATATCCTTCGATTGACAAACAAAAATTTACTATTTCATATAACCGAATTTTGTATGGAATTTTGCATATCTGCTTATGATCCCAAATAGAATACATCGAATATAGGCATAGTAGGAATACTCCATTATTGAAAAACTTCAAAATTTATAGTTAGTATGGTTTTTATATCAATTATTTGGTTTTGGTTATTTGAAATTATTCATATAATTTAATAAGTACGTATGTATAGTTTTGATACATATAAAGCCACCATACACCTGTATGCTTTATGCGAAAACAAAACTGAACCTCATATGAATGCAGTGTCCAGATAATCAATTATCCAGACATTGAATACATAACATCTGTATAAATTCACGTGACATCTGTTAACAAATATTCTTATTTATCCTTATATAATTAATACAGTATTATTTTAGCAAGAAATATGTAGTAGTTATTTTAACTTGAGTGATTTTGCGTATAAGCAAACTGCTATGTTGTAACTTTAAATGGCTCACTAATGTCTGAAGTGGATAAAACCACTGAATACTGGTAGTTGGTCGCAGGTACGCACCTAACCAAAGGCCAAACAAAACAAAGGGCACCTAACCTAACCACGTGGATTTTTCTGTTTTAAAGTTTTCGCAATTAGACAGTAAGGTAAACTATCCATATCTGAACTACACCAGAACAGAAACAGGAAGTACTTCAAATGTTTAGGTGTGTCGATTTTTTTGGGGAGCACACAGGTCATTCGCCTAGGTCATTAGGTTTACTTGTGCCTGCTCTGCCATCATCTACCAACTGGTCTCTTTTTACAATGTGCATGGATTGTATCGGACTCCCTGCTCTTTAGATTCTAATACGACGAAAATCATTTTGTAGACTGTATTTGCATTTATCAGTGGACAGAACATTTGCTCCTTTTAAGCAAAGTGCAATGTCTATGTTTTAAACACAGACTTAAACGGACTCTGTGCACAAGGGTAAATTAAATGAAACATACTGGACGTCTAGCAAAAAGACCGTTCGGCTGAAGCGTCTTATAGACAGTTTGTCGGGAGACTCTAACATATGTGGTCTTAGACAGATTTCAAAGAGCTACAGAATATTCTTCTATTATGAGGCTCTAATCCGGATGGGTCGATATATCTCCAGAAATTTTTCGGGGTGGTCCCTAGGGCTATGTCTAGCCCCGTCCCTCATTACCCCGCCGCTTCATTGTAGTCCTGGCCGAACCCATAATTAACTTGCTAAAAGTGGCTCTCTTAGTGCCCACGGAACGGAAAGTTTTTTTTTTTTTTTTTAAAGAAATGTTTACAAGTTTTCGAAATGTTTACAAGTTTACAAGAAAACAAGTTTTCGAAATGTTTACAAGTTTAAAAGAAATGTTTACAAGTTTATAAAAGAGTAAATCACAACATTTTCGTTGTGATTTATTCTTTTATATCATTTATATTTGATGTTTTTGACATTTTTTTTAATTGAAAAGTTATAAAACACTACTATCAATGATATAAATGATATTAAATGACGATCTTTACCATTTAAAATAGATTTTGCTCAAAGGAAGATTCTAAAACATTTGTTTTTAACTAATATATTTTCATAATTTTGCCATCGCCGGAGAAATTTTTATTTTAATGTTTTACGTATTGAGACTAACGAAAACCACCAATAAAGGTTGACTCTGCCTTAAGACTGTTATGTTCCCAAGATACAATAACGACGAAATGTGAAGACATCTTTTGTATTTCAGTTATTTCGTAAATTAAAAAAATTTTCTCTCTATAAAAATTTATTAATAGAAGTTTTTCGTTCTCATAAAAAATTTTAATCAATAAAGGCTCTTTATGTAATATTTTGTTTACTGCCTAGAAATTAAAAATCCTATACGAATTTACCATTGGGCGACTTTTGGCTACTTCAGCACTACATTTTGGCGACTTTTTACTTCGAGTATCTGGCAGCTATAGTGGCAACACTGATTATTTCAAATTCAACGGCGGAAAGTTTAAAACATTCGTAGCAATATTGTTTGAGTAAATGTAACTTCGTATGTAATCACGATGATAATTTTTAACTAAATTTTAAAAAATTATATTAATATTGATTCCGTATTATTTTTGCTTTTGAGTGTAAGGTAAACTATTTGTTTTTAAGAACTGATTTATGAATAAAATCAGTTAATGAAGCAGAAGTGATCTCACTTAATGTGACAATCTTCCGGACAAATTAAATACACCACCATTTAAATTGGAAATGAAGATTGGAGAAGAAAATTTGCAATCTTTGATTTGGAATGAGTTAAAAGAATTGGGAGTTCGTTTGCCAAAATGCAAGAGAAAAGTTAGTTACAAAAAGGTACTTTATTTTTTAAATAATATTTAAAATGTAACTTAACTAGAGAATGCGTATGATCGAGCGAATGGAAGGAATCTGGCGAGTGTTAAAACAATAAGGAATATATAAGAATAGCAGATTATGTGTTCAAATAGCAATGTTTGAATGATTTGGTATAAAGGAGGATGTAAGGCTGAATGTGTTCAATTCTCCAAGTTATTTTGTGTACATGGATTCGTGTGAGGAGAGTTAGAGTACTTAAGAGTGGAATGAGAGTAATAATTGCTGTATGCAGACAATGTAATAGTGAGGTTGCAGCCAAAGTTTTCATCTCTGAAACGTGAACGCTGAGTGCCGCTTACAAGATAGTGATGTTTATGTTTTAGAGATGAAAGCTTTGGTTGCAACCTTGCTAATGCTGTTAGTGGAGAAAGAGAAGGATTTTACACAATTATAGGATCCCTCTGTCTTTTCACTTATATTTGAGATGATACAAAGATATTGAGATAATTTTAATGTTATTGTATTGGAATATTTTTAATGTATTTCAAGATAATTATGATATATAAAATGAAATTGTTACTAGTTTCTATTTTATTTGGCACTTCAGTTAATATTTTTATCTTTTGTGAAGTTTGGTATATTTTTGTTATGTTAGTGGTCATAGTTTGGTTGTTTTAGCCATTTTAAATTTTTATCTTTTTTCACAGTTTTAATGAATATAATATAGTATTTATTTAGACTTTTATTTATTCTAACATTTGAATTTTTGTTCTTGAAGATTGTAGAGTTAATATGAACTGTTTGTGCATTATGGTAAACTGACATTTTTCTCTTTTCATGTTTGCAGAGGTATTATCATTTTGCTTCACATAAGTTATGACTTGAATTTGAGATCCTTGTTTGAAACTGTTTTTAGAGATTAAAATTTTCATATAGTCAATTATGGATATAGCATACCATGCTTTTTCTATAATATCTGGAAAACAAATGACATTATTGTGTTCACTTATATAAACATTTGATTAGATAATATCTTTTCATTAATAATTGAATCCTGTAATTTTTGCTTTTTGAAGGTTTATCTGAACCCATAGATTCTTAAAAATTTGAATTCCTCTTCTGCTATACAGTCACCTTGAATTTGCTTTTATTATTTTGTTTTTTCAATGTTTTTCTTATATGAATCTCTAAAGATCTATTTCTTTTTTCCCCCACATAAAACAATATTATAAATTCTATTTTTTTAATTCATCTGAAAATCAATAGACATAGATGCTATTCAGTAATACATATAGCATAATAAACTTTGAATAGTAAATGAAAACTAAAATTGAATAACTGCTGGGCAGCTAGTTTTATTCTATTATAAAAAATAAGCAGTTATTTGTTGTGACATTGTCACAATGCTGGGCTACAATTTTTTTAGATCTTGATGCACAATGCTCTTGATTTTAGTAGTAGTCTTGCCGCTGTATATCACAATTTGCTTGTTAACAAGAGAGTTATGCCAGTCATCTAATAACTCTGTTATATAGGTTATATATAACTCTGTTCTGGAGAAAATTTTTGAAATAAAATAACATGACTTCCTGTCCAAATCAGAATTTCATATGCACAGTAGTTAATCAGGGCCTCTGGCTTCTAAGCTTTCCATATCTGGTTTTGACTTTCATCTATCTAACTTCATTTTTGAGATTAAAGATGGATGGATGGACAGACAGATACCAGTGGGAATTTATAGGTCCACAGATTGTTACAGGTTACATAAGCAAACTGACGACAGTTAAAATAAGTGATTCTTAAACTAATAATTGAGCAAAATTAATATAGTAATTAAATTTTTATTTGAAGAGTTGCTAGATAGGTTCTGATCATTATTGATAGAATGGAAAATACATAACACCAAGAATAATAAATATATAGTCATTTTGACCAATGTGCAACTTTGCAAGACAATGCTGATACAAATTATGATTTATTGTTCCATTCAGTTATTCAACTTTTTTAACTTTTGTTTCCAAAAAATGCATATTTTAAAATTATAAATCTCACCTTCATGATACTATCAATAGGTATGGGTGCTGCCATCTTTTTCTTTCTTTTATAGTCATTCCCAAATGCCTACAAACAGCAGCACATGCTGTTGTAGCAGAGATAAGGAGCAACTATTATTAACAGATGCACCCCTAGTAATGTCTTGACATCATGAGGAAAGCAGGAAGTGACTTTGAGAACTATTTAGTGCAATGCCACCCAGAGTTTTCAGATTGAGGATTTTTTTTATCCTGACAGAAAATTTGGGAACTTTTTTGGGGTGACCTTTTTTTATTATTATTTTGATCTTTTTTCAATAGACTGAAGCAAAAATTTTTACATTACAGAGCATGTGAAATACTGTTTAGACATTGTAATAAAATGTGTTGTTTGGATTTGTTTATTTGGAATCATTTTTGAATAGTGTTGCAACGAATAGTATATTCAGCCTCAGGCCAAATACAGAATATTCGGCCAAACTATTCGGCTTGATGAACGTATGTTCGAAAATTGGTGCACAAATCGCATTATGGCGAGGACTCTGCTCTCTATTGGCCTGCTGTCATTACCCTTTTTTCCAATCGTGTTAATTCTTGACAGTTGTAGTGGACAGACAAGAGCATCATGGCAGTATGTGATAAATGATGATATCAAATGTGGATGACAATGAAATGACCTACACGTGTAAATAATGGAAAAAGAACAGAGAATGACCGTGAAGTGAAAATGTGAAAATAAATATGAAATTGAGTTGATAACATAATCGAACAAGTTGAGGCAGCTTATTGGCGCAAAATGCTAAAGAATTGTTGTCATAGACTTCAGAAAGCTAAATGCTTGTAATGAAAGTCACTTAGTGTGCTCGGGCGAAAGCCTGGGGCCGTTCGGGCTACCAAACTGTCTCGACTCTGTGAAATCATAACTGTGACTTATTTCGACGTTCTATGTGTCTCTTTTCTCTGTTATCACCAGGCCATGAGTCACATAATTGTAAAATGGGAAATCTACGATGGAAAAGTGATGAATCGAAAGTATTGTGAGGTCATATTATGATATATGCATAGGCATATGTGAACTAGAGTGATAGAGGAAAGAGAAAGGGAAGAGCAAAGACGAGCGCTTAAAAAGAAGGATAGGCAGGGTCAGACCCTCAGATGTGCGACGATTCTCGAATGAATAGGTGTGAACGTGTGCTGATCTTTGTAATTATAAATTGTGAATACAAGTGACTAATATTATTTTCTTTTTTATTTTGTGCATGTTACAAACAACACTACCCTGATAACATTAAATCTAAATACCAAACGGGACATTCCAATTTTCAACGCTGACTCAGCGCTGATCTCAACATTCGTTAAAATTCATTCCTTTTTTCAACGTTGAGGTAGCGCTGTTGTCAGCGCTGACTCAACACACTCAACACTCAACAGATATGTTGACTGCTACTTTCCAGTGAATTGTGGGTAATTGGTAAGACATTTGAATGGAATCTATCTTGCTTAGAATGGAATTATAGGAACTAAGCACTTCGTACTTGAGTTGGAACGTCGTTGATGACGTCAAATTGTTGACTTCAACACTCAACACTCGCGTTGAAAATTGGAATGTCCCGAAAATGATTAATTTACTATGTTTTTGTTATTTCTTATTCCTGTTTTTAGGTATTCGGTATTCGGCCGAATAGTGATTAAATATTCGGTATTCGGCCAAATAGCGAAAAATAGGCCGAATACCGAATAGTAACCGAATATTCGTTATATCACTATTTTTGAATAATTTTATATCTCTAAATGACAGCTTAACATTTTGCTTTTGCTGTGTAGACTCCAAACTGACAGAGCTACCAGCACCTACATTAATCAGTAAGTAAAACTGGTGGCAATAAATAATTTGAAGTAATGAAGAAATTAAAAACTGGCAAAATGATTGGCAATTTTTTAAAAAAATTTCCAGAGTGACCCCTGAATAAGTTTGTCACTTTTGTATTTCATATTTGTAAATTTACATTTTTTTTATAAGTCTTTAGTTGTTTTTGCTGATATTTGAAAAGTTGTGAAAGTTTCCAAGAATTTCTGTTCAGAAACTAGTCTATAATTATAATTATCTACATATCTAAATCTGAAACATTGAATGTGAAACTGATTAATATCCATATTATTCTCAATCATGCAATGGGGGTATAGTTTTCATTAAGCAAAAATGATTTTGCTATTAATTATTCAAAAGGTGTAACAATTTCCCATATTCTCTGATTAGGCAAAGTATCTTTCCAAATATAGATTTCAGAATAATTATATTTTTATATTTGCATATTAATTCTTTATATTTGCATTCGTTGAGGCTTATTTCAATTATACAGTAGAGCATAGATCAACCGAAAGCGTTCTAGTCGGCAAATTTAAATTTTTGCTAGTGCTGTGGTGTAGCAATATTTGGCTATGTCTTGGGCTATTCCAATATTATTTTTGTTGGTGTGCGTGCCTTAGCTGGCAGCACTGGTACGACCATGAGAGGGTACTTAAATTAAGGACATGCTAGAATTTGAACAAATTTCACCATTGGATAGGTTAATATATTTTTTTGTACATAATCGATTATCCGAACAACCCCAGTCCTGAAATGTTTTGGATAATCAATGCTCTACTGTAATTTTGTATGAACATTTGAGTAGAAATAATAATGAAAATATTAAGTGTCCACATTTTTTAAGTAACATTTAACAGACAAGCTTTTTTTATTATTCCTTTAAATTAAATCAGTTGAAATTGATTGTTGTTTAAATATCGAAAGGAATTTCACTAAAGTAAAGCTTTCAGTAGAATGGAGCATTTAACAAGACTCACAAAGGAACTGTTAAAGTGTCTTTTTAATAAATATTAATAAAATTTAGTTAATAATTATGTTAAAAGTATACAAACTCTATATTAAATTTGTAATATTTATTAAAAGTGTTAGAGTTAATAACAATCAAATGTTGTACTATTTTATATTAGTTTAACACAAATATACAAATTTTTAGAAATGAAAGGGTTGCAAAGGAAGATGATATTACATTTACAGAGTAAAATAAGGAATAAACTCAAATAAATGTTATATGAAAGATTAGATTGCAGTGTTTGGCAACACAACATTTGACTGCCGTCCCCAACCTATGTGACGTCAGACCATGGCTAACTCCACTTTTTAGGTGGACATGCTTATGTCAGGTTGCTCACCTTACTGTGCACTCCAACCACTGTTTCCATGGTTGATGTAACTGTAACTCTTGTATATAGTTCTGTAAAATAAACTTGTGACAACAACTGTTGGACTCCATTGTCTGTCCTGGAATCATTCATTCGACACAACGCCGACACTATTCGTAGATGTAATTGGATTGATTGACATAACCAATTTCCTTCTCAAGAGGTACAATGCCTTAATGGCCTCCTCGCTGGTGACCTCCACGACATAGTAATCTGGACTAGATGGTCTAAGCATGCTGACCATTTCAAAACACAAATCCCAGACTTCATCAACAGGAATCCAGACAGGCCTTTTTTTTTCTCTCCATGTCAGTCAAGCAGCCAAACTAACTGTTAGTTCGGCTGTTTGACCAGCATGGAGAGACCAGGTTTTGAAATTGTTAGCATCATCACTGGAACTACCTAATCCTGATTACTATGTAATGGAGGTCACCAGTGAGGAGGCCACTAAGGCGTACATACCTCTTGAGAAGGAAATCGGTTATGTCAATCAATCCGATTACATCTACGAATAGTGTCAGTGTTGTGTCAAATGAATGATTCCAGGACAGACAATAGTCCAATGGTTGTTGTCACGAGTTTATTTTACAGAACTATATACAAGAGTTACAGTTACATCAATTGTGGAAACAGTAGTCAGAGCACACAGTGAGGTTAGCAACCGGACATCAAGCATGTCCACCTAAAAAGTGGAGTTAGCCATGATCTGGTGTCACGTAGGTTGGGGATGGCAGTCAAACGCCACAATCTATTTTTTCATATAACATTTATTTGAGTTTATTCCTTATTCTACTCTGTAAATGTAATATCGTCGTCTTCCTCCATGACCCTTTCACTTCTAAAAATTTGTATATTTGTGTTAAACTAATATAAAATAGTACAACATTTGATTGCTATTAACTCTTATTAACACTTTTAGTGAATATTACAAATTTAATATAGAGTTTGTATACTTTTAATGTAATTATTAACTAAATTTTATTAATATTTATTAAAAGACACTGTGAAAGTTTCCTTGTCAGTAGCATCTTTTCTGAACTATTGCTTTGAAGAGGACCAATGTGTTGGCAACTGAAATAAATTATCAACAACTTTATACTATAATTTTATAGAATAATTTTAAAAGAAACAATAATAATAGCAATTTTTATAGTTTATATAAACTTGCTAGTGTGTCTTTAAAGTTTCTTTATATCAATTTAAAACCATACTAATAGCAGAAGTGATCATTACTACCTGTAGTATTATTTCTACTGAAGTTTGAGAATGCTCAAAGTGTGTATCATTCATTGCAATGTAACGACAATGAAACATTATGTTCAAATTTTTTCAATATTACTAGTATTATTTTTAATATTTACAATTCTAACTTTCCAATTTACATCTATAAAAGTGTAATAAATTAAAGATTTGATCTCTCCTTGGAGAATAATTAGTGAAATATCTGGCAATACTGCTACGTAAGATAAATATATTATATTTTCATCTTAATTAAGTAGCAGCATTTCTATTCATATATTTTATTCAGCATTACTGTTTTATATATATATATGAAATAATAATGAATATGTTTTTATTTAATAAATTTTAGTAATTGAACTTTTTTTAGGATGTTGTTTATGAATCATGTCCTGATCAGGTGTTTGGAGTTTTGCTATCTAGTCAAGAATGGATAACGGTTGATTGTCATGGCACTCCAGTACCTAGGTAAGTTTATCATTAAGAAAATTTTAATTTATTCTAAATACCAAATTCATTAAGTTATTTGGAACAGATTTTTAGCTATTACAACTGAATATCTTTTGCAACATAAGCATCTTGAAGGATTGTTTAGAAAAGTTGGATCAATTACGCGACAAAAAGAATTAAGAGTAAGTTTAATAAATAAAAAATATTTATCTTAAGTAGTAAGTATAATGATATGAGATATTACTATGTCATATATATAAATAGATGTAGCACTTTATTTAATGTTATTTAGAGAATACAAGTAGGATGACTTGAGTGTGCCAGAATGAGGTTCAAATTTTGACCATAAGAAGAAATATATAAGCTTGTCTATATTTAAGAGATTTTGATTTATAAGATATTTTCAGGAACAAGTATGCTTATAAATTGGTGTTACATGTTTTACTTTTTGATTAGCATTTTTATGCTCATTGTTGATCATATGCAGTTTTAAAACACATTAAATATATTTTATTTCTAAATATTATATTTAAATATTTAAAAGCAGATATTTTATTTTTAAAATTACAATAAATTTTTTTTAATGTTCACAAGAAGTTAACAGAAGAAAACACAGGGCTTCTTCATTTTTTTTCATCCTACTCCTTTTCACACCTCTGGAACAGTCTTTTATTACATGTTTTACATATTGAGGTTGATAACAGCCTACAATAAAAGGTTGACTCTGCTGTAAGACTGTTACTGAAGTGTGAAAAGGATGTAGGATGAAGAACTTGTATTTGTTCTGTTAACTTCTTGTGAACATTTTTAAATTTTCATGTAAATTTTAAATATAATTATTGTCCTGGTTATTTACTAGTTTTATTAATGTTAATCAGATATTTTATGTCAAAATGATGTGTTAATTCTTTAATTTAATAATGTACAAAACATTTTAATTTGTATGTTTAATGAAACATTCTGTATGAAACAATGCACAGTGCTTCCATATATTATAGTTCTGCCCATTATAGTTTAATAAATTCAACTAGAATGCATTTGAAAACACAATGCAATGTAAGTCATCCTGCCATTAATTGAATTCTTGGCACCATTGCAGTTAGACACCTATGATCAAGGATAAATAACAGTCAAATAAATGGATGGCAAGCAAAATGGCCTCAATGTCGTAGTGTTAAACTGTATATTGTATGTGGACATCCATTGTCTGACAGACCCCAGTATTGGGTTGGGTTTGTGATGTAACTGTTTAATTCATCACTATCATGTGCAAAGATTCCTCCCATATTAATAGGTCCAATCCTTTTTTTACCCACTGATGTTATACTTATCATTGTGCTTGCATTTCACCTAACATGAACACCAGTATCCTGGAAGGATAAGTTACCTTCTATATTCTCACAATTCTTTCTCATTCAAAATCTGAAAGCTGGACATATGACTTGCATCCTTTTGGCCAGACATGTTTGGTCCTTAAGTAAACTACAGTTGGCCAGTAATGAAGTTCTGGGAATTTCCCATTTACAGTCACTTTTATACCCACTGTGGAAAAGTCCAGAGATCTAACTTGTACATAAAATTTCTTTGCATGTGCTGTGCTTGCAATCATTTTTACACACTTCTCCATGATTGTCCATTCTGCAAGTTTTGGTCCAATATGAGATATTTAGGTAGCAATGTATATACAAGATTGTAATTAATACATTTGTTGCCAGTTGACATAATTCTGTGTCATGTGCAGGTGGTTGCATGATGCAAAATTATATCAACTGATGGTGAACATCTTAAAGTATTTAATGATGTATGGAAGGATATCTAGCAGTCTAAATGCAACCAAATTTTATTTATTGATATTTCAGGACATATAAAACAGATTTCTAACAAGGGGACCTTATGGTCTTGGAAATTCAGTTTGGGATGAGACTTCGCAGGTTAGTAGTATACCTCAAGGGTGTCCACCCAGAAGAATTGTAAAGCGCACTAGCCAGAATATTCTGAGAAAAAGGGCTCTAAAGTTTTAATTGCAGCTCGTATACTGGTTGATTTTACACTATGGCAGCACAGCAAAATGGCTGATTCTGTAGAAAACTTGTTTGCCACGTGGGCAATCTAGATATAATTTAATTTATTATAATTAATTTATATAATAA